GAGCCGACGGGGCTAATGGTGGCAACAGTGGCGCTGGCAGCTCTGACGATCACCGTAGACTGCCACAAGTTGCAGCAAGGCGCGGACGCATGGAGGGAGGAGATCCTCCACCACCGCCGCAGCCTCAAGCAGAGCCGAGGCCAAGGCCAAGGCTCCCTGATTGGACTCGCTTCGACGTTCAGCTCAGCCTCCAAAACCTGCGCAGCTTCGACCCAGCTGTAGTGCAGCGAGAACTCCGCAAACTCCACCTGAGATGGTTTCATGCCAAGGAGCCAAAAATGCGGATGATTCTAACCAAGGTTGGTCTGGGTGAAACCCGTTTGAGTCTGATCAAAGGCATTTGTGACTCGTGTAGAGAATGTCGAGCCTGGGACAAACCAGGCAACACGGTGATGCCTTCTGTGTCACTGCCAGGACGTTTCAACGAGGAAGTCGAATGTGATCTTTTCTTTTACAAACAGGAACATATTGTTTTTCACATCATCGACCGTTGTATTCGCTGGGCAGCTGGCACAGAGATTCCTGATAAAGCCATGCATACTGTTCTCGATGCCTATCATACGACTTGGATGCAACATGGCCCTGCTAAAATCTTATACTCCGATGGGGAAGGAGCACTGAATAATGATACAGCAAAGGCCATCCTTAAGGCTAAGGGAACAGAGCTTCGTATTCGAGCGCGTGGCCAACACGCTACAACTATCGAAGCTAGGAACGGCATCCTGCGACACCTCTTACACGTGATGGGAGAAGAATTGAATAGATTAAATATTCCTCTCAATTTCACTCGTCTCTTACATGAAGCCTTGTTTGCCAGCAACGCATTTACCTTCTACAATGAAGTGTCTCCGTACAATGCGCTGTATGGCAGACAACCAGCTATGCTTCCTGATTTCCCTGTCTTGGATCATGATCAGTCCGCTGAATCATCAGATCACTCAAGGGAGGAAACAATCAGGAGGGTTAGTCTGGAGGCAATCACGCAGGCCACTGCGGTTGCCAAGACGAACAGGGCTCTCCGTACGAAGACTACTGCTACGGGTGAATTTCACTACAAAGAGGGAGATCTCGTGGACTATCATCGCCCGACCACCACGAAAGACGACTGGGGTGGATGGAGTGGTCCATACCCGGTCATCCGCAACGAACCTGACCGAGGCCAGGTCATCGTGAAGGTCGGCAGTCGCGAGGTGCGAGTACAGTATCCTGACACACGACACACGCTGTACATCGAAGCACTTATGGTCCGCGAGATAGGATCGGACAATACGGCCCTTCGGACAGTATTGGCCTTTATTGCCGGTCTGCCAGCGGGGAAACCCGCCATGACTTTCGGATATCTACCAGCGAAACAGGGTCGGCTGCAGATGACTGCTGCGAGCCGACTTTCGCCTAAGGTGCACTTGGCTCTTCAGTACCTCATACGCAACTACTTTCGTATTGAAAACGTTGTTGCTGTACGACTTGCCAAGAGCCTGACGAAGTTGCCTGCTGCACCCTATGCAGACAGCTGTACACTAGTGCACTATGATAATGATGTGACCCCTGGTTTTCATTACTATGAAGCTGATGGCACTGCCTTGAACATCTATGACATCACAGGATCTACACACTCACGCATCATCCAGTGTCTTAAATCCAGGAAGCCGTCTGCTGGATTTGACCAAGACCTCACTAAGTTTGAGGAACTCGCTGATGGTCCACCACCAAGCGAATCACCTCCAGCAGCTGCTCCTGAGGAGCCTCCTACGGATAACGATGGTCGGCTCCCGACCATCATAGAGGAAACAGAAGAAGATCTGGATGCTTTTGTCTTGAAGTCGTGGTATGCTGAACTGATGGATGACAGAACACTCCTTGAAGCTGACACAGAGGAAGTCATGCATACAGTTCCCACATACATGACAGACACACAGTGTGTGTTAGTCTCTACGACCTGTGAAGATGTGCAAGGCCACTTGCCGGAGCGGGGTCACCCGCCAGGATACGACATGGACACTTCTTACTACGTTCCTTTATGCTCCACGGATCCGGATAGCAAATATGATCTGGACTCCGATGAGCACGGGAAGTACATCGAGCTCTGCTTCACTGCAGACATGTCCAAAGTCGTCCTGTCCGAGCAGCAACACCGATTGTTGGATGACAGCAGCGTCACAACTATGCGAGTATACGTTAGCGCTGCCTCCAAACGTGCCGCGGTCGTCAAGGAAGACGATCTACTCACGAAGGCCGACATCCAAGCAAATCCGGTCAAAGTTTCCAAAGCCCTCTACACAGAATTGAAGACTTGGCTTGACAACAAATGCTTCCAGATGACTGACTTAAGCAAGGCGTCTAACATCATGACGTCACGCTACGTATACAAATGGAAGTTTGTCAAGAACGAAAAGGGCGAAATGGAAAGGACGATCAGGTTACGCTTGGTACTCCGTGGCTTCATGGACCTTGAAGCCTTTGATGTCGAAACCTTCTCTGGCACGGCAAGGAGGTCAAGCCAGAGACTGCTCGCAAGTTCTGCTGCATGCAACAAAGCTTGGATCATCGCTTCCCTGGACATCAACATGGCTTTCTTGAAGGGACTGACCTATGGCGAGCTCGCCGCGGCAACGGGCGAGAAAGAGCGTGTGGTGTGCTTCACACTACCACCTGGGTCAGCAGCTGTCCTTCGCACACTGCCAGGCTTTGAGTCATATGACGAATCAAAGCATTGTCTCCGGTGTCTGAAACCGGGGACGGGCACGAAGGATGCTCCCAGGGCATTCTCGCTGAAGCTCAGGTCCATCACTAGGAGCTTTGGGCTACAGCCTACTTCATACGACGAAGAGTTCGAGATGAGCCCAAACCTCTTGACAGCCAAGCACGTTGATGACATCAATATGACTGGGAAGGAAGAGGCTATTGACAAGTATGTCAAGTGTGTTGAAGATACGTTTGGGAAGTGCAAACTGAACAAGCACACATACACAAACTGTGCCGTTCGGTACAACAAGACCGATGATGGGAGCGTCACTCTCGATCAGGACGAATACATCAAACAGCTTCGTCCTATCACACATCCAGAACTCACAGGAGCTGATCCTGAGAGCAAAGCGACAAAGACGATTTCTGATATGTTCGTCAGTCTTCGTGGCGCTCTAGCCTATGCGTTGATCACGCAGGTATGGCTGATGGTCTATGTTGTCTCACTACAACGTATCCAGGAACCGACAAACATCCAGGTACGACGACTAAACGCGGTTACCAGAAAGCTACAGGCAGGTCCGAAGAAGATCGTGTATCAAGCTATGACCCCAACAGGAGAAGTCGACCTGCATAGCGATTCTGGCTATCGTCGTCTCAACGGAGATGAAGACGACGAAGTCAAAGGCTATGGTATCCGCGGGGCTAACCTGCTGAGGCGTGGCCACACGCAAGCGGGGAAACCCGTCGTGCACCTGGTGGACGCATACTGCAAGTCTCATCGACTGCAGGTGCGTTCGAGCTACTCTGCGGAAACACTGGCAGCAGCCCACAACTTGGAAGACTGCTACCCGACCATTGTAACGCTCCACGAGCTACACTCGGGACCATTGACCCCCACACAGTTAAAGAACATATTGGAAATGGGTGGTCTATGTATCAAAGTCACTCTGACTATTGATGCCGAGTCTGTCTTCAAGTCTTTGTCTAGCAAAGATCTGAAGAAGCCCACAGAATGTACTCTGCTTGGGCACATCAGCTGGATCCGCCAGATGATGGAACGCGGAATCGTGGAAAGCGTCCAATGGTGTGACACGCGGGATATGACTGCCGATGGTCATACCAAAGGTAGCATTGACCGCGCGTTGCTCCTACAAGTAATGGCCGGCCAGCAATCCTTCAAGCACGAGCTGAAGAAACATACGCCGTATAGGGCGGGCAGGTCGTCTCAGGACGGCCCTGCCTCCCGAGCCAGCGGGGAAACCCGCGGGCAGGTGCGCTTTAGTAGCGAGGAAACTCGCCGGTAGCGAGGCTACTCGCGCGCCCTTTCCTTGTAGGCAGCCGCTGCTGCTTAGCACTGTTTTTCCGCATAATGTAGAAGTGCGGTACCTGCTCGTCTCCTCCCCCTCCGACTTTAAACGGAGAAGGTTAAAGGCGAGGTATAAATCGAGCATGTACCGCTGCCGTGCCTGGCTCAAGCCGGGCCCGGCCAAATATATGACTGTGCCTCACTGAGGCGCACGACTTGCATCAGAGATCGGAAAATACCTTTTCCATTGACGATGCCCATCCTATCCTTTACTCCAGATCCCATGCTTCGTCTTGCACTCTTGCTCATGCGATATGAGCCAAAGCCTGGGATATGGCAACGCTTAAAGCGTAACACATACCTAAGCTTACCAGCTTGTTTTCGACTAGGGGGAGGGGTAAACCCCTCCCCGAAGGGGAAGAAGGGGGTTGAGAACAGAGCGGGCTCTCTAAACCACTCACGCCGCAAGGGCTGGTGGGATTCGTATGTTACTCTTGCTTTTCCTCTTCACATTCCCACTCTTTGCCATATGTCTCTTCGATCGCTTCCTGTGCATGCCATTCGTCTCGTACCCTTCTTCGTCGTCATCCCTCACCCCACTGGTCTTCATCATACTTCCCATGCCGGTGTGCATCGCCATCGTATCGTACTTGTGACCTTCTTGATGGTCGTCCACCTCGCATTTCTTTTTATCATATGTGTGCACATTCTTATCTCCGCCTCCGATCCGCTACTTCCCCGTCATCATCATCATCATCATCATCATCATCATCATCAGCATCATCATCATCATCATCCACCCATGTCGGCGTGCAATTACAAAGACAAGCTGTTATTGCATGTCCATGTGTCTTGACAATATTCTCAGTGCTGTTGCTTGCGAGCTGGCTGGGGGGATCGATGCTGTGCACATGTTGCGCCTCCCACTGGTCACCAGCTTGTTTGGTTCACGCAGGCACCCAATCATTTCTGAAAAGTTGTTGCCGCGCTGGAAAATCTGGCGGCGCGCAGCCTCTCTATTGCCCAAGTCGATCCAGGGCGCGCCCCCTCTACCGTTGGCAGCGGGAGGCGGGAGTCACCGTCCGTCTTGTCCTACTCCTCTGTTTCTTCTCGTCGGTTGTTGTTGGTGATTTCCCCTCCCTGTGCTGTCTTTCCCCCGCCCTTCCCATCACTGTTCCTGCCCTCTTCCTTCCACCCGTTCATACCTTCACCCATGCATGCATCCTTCCCCCCATGCCATTATCATTTGCTTGTCGCTCCCCCGCCCTCGCTCATTCGCTCCCCCCCTCTCTCTCTCGATATCCGTCGTCCCCTCCATGCTGTCCTTCGTCATCGTCCGTTTGCTTTTCCTTTTCCAACTCACCGTCTTCCTTCTCATCATATTGTTGCTCCGCCTGGTTACCTGGCTGTTCGACAAGCTCTTCGTTGGGAAGGGTCCTAGTCAAATGGACAACGAGTCAGCCCGTCATAATTCAAATCTGTCAATATGGTCCCAGGCAGTTTCGACCACCTCAATGCGCATTACATCGGGAGCACGGTCAATGACTTCAAAGGGGCAGACAGGAGTTCCTGCTCTGTTCGTTGCAAACAAAAACCGTTATCTCATCCGTCATCTGTCGTGCAACGTGGACTTGGACGTCACGGATCTTGCAGCCTTCTTTTTTTCACCAGAATTATCATACCTCGGGCAATATCATATTGCAATCGGGCACGCCAGCTTGCTACTACCCGTGTTTTTCCTGGGAGAATTTGAGCAGTCCCCGCTATGTTATGTTCGGTGCGCCACAGGTTGATGTAACCCATCGAATTGCATCAGGAACCGTCGCTTGAGCAATAGCCATCATGAGAAGGCTGTTTCCGAGGAGTCGCCGCTCATCCTTCTTCACGAAGCCAAGAACAACCCATCAACCCCTAAGGTCACAGTCAGGCTCAACATACAGTCCACCTGTTGCGTTTACCAGCGCAGCCAAACGCGATGTTCAGCTAGATCGGGCACACCTGGCGACGCCGCAGAAGCAGCCAGCCCAGCCAAAGGAATGTGTGTCATGCTATCCATTGCCAGCCGTTTTCTGGTAAGTAGCCAGCAGCCATATAAAACTAACACATCCTTCACGCGACGGGCCGATACAGCCGACGATCATAGAGGGAGTTAGCTTCCCCATGTTTGCCCCAAGACACGCACCGACATACATATGCAAACGTGGTCATGCCACTCCTCGACGCCCCACTGGACCAGTGGTAAGCTTCTCTGTTTCGACGTCGCTGGTCGCTTGGAGATTCCACGCGAGGTGAATGCGGCAGCCAATGTGGCCTTGCAGCACGTTGCTTGACATCAGGCCAGCCCGCTTCAACAGCGATTTTCACATCTTGCCAAAGAGACGGAAAGGGATACCATCGCCAAACACCTAATCAACAATATTGTGATTGCGACGTCAAGCCAGCAGCTATCCGTACTGGGGTCACCGCCGTCAGCCGGGGACAAGGACACGGCACTTACGCCGCGGACGAGTTCCAGAACGGGTGATCTCCGTCGTTTTGGTAGACACTCACAGATTCTATTTGTACGCGCGCAGTGATTCCAGCGCTCACGGACAAGTCAATCATCGGGGTCGCAGCCAGGCCCGCATGGCCACGGAGTTGAACGGGGTGGGCCTGCTCGGCCGCACGCGCGGCAGTTGCTGCGAAGATTGCGGCCGCTGGCCCAGCTCCGAAGGCGCTACCCCCTGGCGGGGTAGTAGCCCTGCCCTACTGGCCAGGCCAGGCGCGCCTGCTGGGTGAGCCAGTCTTCGGTGGCGGCGACATGGCAGCAACGGCGGTCGGGATCGATCGGGCTGTATACGGCAACGCACACGGCCCCGAGGTCTTTCCGCAGCCTCCGCGGACACCTCCGCTCCGCCAGCCAGGGTTGTGGCTGCCCCACCTGAGTGAGCACCTGTCTGTCTGTCTTCTGTCGTTTGCCTGTTCTTTGCATGAGGCTCTCTATGTCCGTCTGCTTCTGCGCTGGCACGCGCTTTTCACGCGAGGATTCGTCACACGAATGGTACTCGAGCTTCATCGTTCTTGATGACCTGCATGGGGTACCCCCGCAGCTGCCTTTGGGGCTGCCTGTCCAATTGGTTTATAGTATTGTGCGATCTCTGCCGCCCCTTGTCGCCAGTGGGGTGCCTCCTCTGCCGCAGTCTTTGTTGTTTGCCCGCCTGGCGGTTACCTGGGCACTTAGTGCAGGCAGGCATTGATCCGACACCGCCACTCCGCTCGGCTGCCGCTCCTTGCCTCCTGGTTGTGCGTCGCCCTGTCTGGCCTTGCGGCCTCAGCAGCGATAAGTCAGCGGCTGGCCACCTCCAGGGAGAGTTTGCTGGAGCGCCCTAGCGCGCCCCCTCGCTTGCACTGGACCTTCCAGGGCTGGCAGGCGTCGACTTGACACCGTCAATTCGCTAGGTTGCCGCTCTTCGCTTTTTGGCTGTGTGTCGCCCCGCCTGGTCCCGCGGCCGCTGCAGCGACAAGTTGGTGGCTGGCCACTTCCCGGGGAGTCAGCCGGAGCCAATTCGTTTCGAATAGGGCCTTTTTGAACGTGTCAGACCTTGCTTAGCCCAGCCTTCGTCCCGAGCAGGTTGGGGCCCGCACGCCTCACACACCCCGCAGTTTGTACATTTTTGCAACGGTTTTTCTTGGCCGCAGCGCTGGCTGTGGCCGAGCCGCCTTTCTCGGAGCAGTACGCGCGCTGCTTCGGCACAGCACCGCCAGCTCGTACATACTGTGCCGCCGCATTGCAGTCCCTGGCGCACCGAACATTTGACGTTGATGAGGCGGCGTTAACAAGCCATGCGGTATTTCCAAAAGGGGGATGCGGCGTAGGTGAGGTGTTGTAGTAGTAGTATTGGTGGTAGTAGTATGCGTAGTAGCCGTAGTAGTCGTAGAAGTAATAGAAGTAGTAGTAGTAGTAGTAGTAGTAGTAGTAGTAGTAGTAGTAGTAGTAGTAGTAGTAGTAGTAGGAGTAGTAGTAGTAGTAGTAGTAGTAG